TAAATGACATTTAACCAAATAGACATATCAATAACCTTTAAACAATAAGTGTCGCTTCGATCAAAAAAAATATTTAAATATGAACCTATTAACTAAAAAAATTATATTATATATAGGACTCCTCTTTCTTATATTCGCATTTAAAATCACAAAAAATGTCAAGAATTCTAATACTGTGTTTGGTTGATAGATTTGGGGAGATTTGGAAAGGAAAAGGAAAAAGATGTATGAAACTAGGTGAAATGTAGGTATATTTTATTCACAGTTTACCAAATTTTTTCCTTTCCCTTTTCAAATCCCTCTTCAATTCCTCCAACCAAACACAGCATAAATATATTGTCAATATTTTTATCAAATATCTTATATGAATGTAAGGAATCACATACCTATATAAAACTTTCAATAAAAATATTAATAAAATATTTAAAATACATTACTTTAAAATCACCGCCATCCTTTTCATCTTGCAATTTAGGCCAAGTTTGGGAAGACTAAAAAAGTGCACTTTTTGTCTTTTTGGACTAAAAAATTGAGGTTGAAAATATAGATGTTTGGGTTTATGGATGTTTGGGTTAACTTTTTGACTTTTTATTGGAAAATGTGTAATAAAAAATTGTAAAAATTAATTTGTAGGGAAAAATTTGAATTGGGAGTTGTGCAGCCGTAATTGTTGACTTTTGATAAATAGTGTTAATTTTTTAACTTTTTGAGTAACTTTTTGACTTTTTAACTTTTTTTTTTAAGTCCCCAAACTTGGCCTTAAAGAGATCCAAGTTTGGCAAACTTTAATATGTCCTAGGGGCCTACATGAACTAACCAGTTGCCATGTTACCATCTTTGACATCCAATCCCACCGCATCTTTGTGATATTTTTAAAATGTTTTTTCAATTTGTTTTTTTATCTTTATTTTTTTTTCAATTTTCTTTTCTTCTTTTTGTTGAAGTTAGAGCACATTCTTAGATCATATTATTCGGTACAATTTATTACAAATTAAAAGTTAATAATCAAAAGATGAAAAATAAAATTATTCTTCCCTCAAGTCTTGTTTAAAAATAAGTTATTTTAATAATTTTTTAATTTTTTATAAAAAAATATACAAAAAAATAGAGAGAGTGATGTAACAACTTATAATGACTTTTTGACTTTTTAACTAAAATATATAGTTTCCAAATGAGACACTGGCTTCACAATAATTAGATTTTTTAATATTCAAGTTATTTTTTCTTATAATATGTAAATAAAAATTATACCAAATAATATGACATGTTTTTAAGGGTAAATTACACTAGTGATTCCTAAATTTTGCTTTTCATGTCATTTTGATCCCGACACTTTCCGTTGGTTCAAATTTGACCATTAATTTTAGATTTTGGCCTCGTTTAGCCAAAAAATTACACCAAATTAGATCATTCTCTCTAATTTTCTGTATGTGTTTTTTTATAAAAAGTCAAAAAGATGACTAAAATACTCGCTTATGTCAATTTGATCCAATTGATAATGCCGATAGTGTTTTTGAATGAAAATTATCACTGAATTGGTTAAGATTAACTTATTGAGTTAAGTAAATTTATAATTTTATTCTTAAAAATATGACACATGCCACTAATATGTACTTTTAAAAAAGGGCATTGATTTAGACCCCCTTAAAACACCCACCCCCACAACCCCCTCACATACATAGAGGTTGGGGATTGGGTGAGAAGAAAAAAGAAAAAAAAAAAAAAAAAAAAAAAAGAAAAGTTGACCAATCAAAACTAAAGGGGTCAAGGGGGTCTCAACCTTTATTCTTTAAAAAAATACTAATAGTTGTACTCAATTAAACCAAATTGGGATAAAATCATAAATTTAGAGTCAAAATCAATCTAATTAAGATTATAGAGACTAAAATTACAAAGACCAAAGTACAGGAACTACTGTCATAATTTACAATATTTTTAAAATAAAGTTCTAGTAGACTATGAAAACATGATTTCAAATTTGAGTCTATGCAAGGATGTTGATGTGCATTGTAATATAACAACTGGCATATTAATCATTATCTTGTATTAAAAAATAATAAATAAATAAACTATGAAAACAAGATTTGGTTTTGAATTTTCAGTATGATTACCAATTCAAGATTGCAGTATAAATGTGAAGTTTTTTTTTTTCACTTTTCCTCTAAAATCCTTTTCATCTCATGCATTACGTGGTAAGTAATTACCACTATTTCTAACAAAAAGTAAATGACGAAACATTATTAATTCGAAACTTTCCTTTAGAAATCGGTTTCCATTTGGGACGTAAAAAAAATCAAAAAAAAATTGAGTAAATCGATTAAATTCAATCAAACCGTTCATATATTTGGTCTATTCTTTAACAAGAATTGGTTTGTGCGATTTTTTAGTTTGATTTTTTATTTATTTATTTTTAATTTGGTATCGGTTTAAGCACTTTATACACCGAATTAAACCAAAACCAACCGGTTCAATATATATTGTATTTATAATATATATATATATATATATATATATTAATAAGTATAATATATTATTCCTCTCAATTAATTAACCATATCATCCCTATAACCTAAGTTAGTATTATGGCTTCGTTTGGGAAGTAGCTATTTTTTAGGCTTTTTGGCTATTTGGTTATTTTAGTAGGCTATTTTAATTTTTGTGTTTGGGAAGATGGGATGAATTTTTATTTGAGTTGTTGTATTGGAAAATGTGTTCGAAATGATATTTAAATTGAAATGACAATTTTGTCCCTGACTTTATTTTTCCGAAATTACTGTGTAGGGGTAATATTGTAATTAAACTTGTCTGCAGCCTACACTGTTGGTGGCAGTGTAGGCTGCGTTGCTGCAACAGCCGTAATCATTTGACTTTTTTTTTTTTTTGAAAATCATGCACAGGTGAGGTTTTTTGGCTATTTTCTCATTTGAGGCTAAAATAGCCCAACCCAAGGCTTCCCAAACATATATAAGCTTAACTCTAACTCATTATTCTTGAAGTCTTAGTATTTATTGTTTTTTTTTTTTTTGGTTGTATTTTTGTTAATTTATAAATTGTAAAATATTTATTAAATGAATGGATAGGATATATGTCTGAAATGGTTGACAAATGACTAATTCAATATTTTTATATAAATGAATCAAAATAGTAAATATGGCTTAAATTTGAAAGAGCCTAAATCGATTAAATTCTAACAAATCGAACTGTTTCAATTGCTACAGTTTGGTGCGGTTTCATAGGAGAAGTAGTCTATATCAATATTCAAAATAATAAAATCAACATTATCAATTCAGTGAAAATTTTTACTTAAATACCGATTGTACCGAATCGATTATATCCTTAGTTTTCATGCCTACTCACTAATTAAGTTTTGTTTATTCAAAACAAAACAAAAGGATTAAAATAAAATGAAATAAAAAAAGAATGGCCAATATTAAGATGATTTCAAAGATTTAGAGTAGGTGATTTTATGAAAAATGCTTGAGAGTTCTAATTGAGTACCTCTAATCCACACATAATGATGTGGAATGTACTTCACTCTTTATTTCTCATCCTTCTTCTATTTATCTCTCTCTACTCTCTTTCTATTTTACTTTATTAGAAGTCAAAATAAGAAAGATATATTATGAGATGTAATGCTACTCGTGATTTTATAACTAACTACTACATACAGAAGTGTAGTTAATTTTTCCGTAGTGTAATTTTGTCCAAATAGAATTTAATGCAACAATTTTTGTTTGTTATCTCTTGAATAAGATGCTCGTAACCTGTTATCCAAGCTTTACAGTCTACATTTTTCATTTAATTTTATTCAAGATAACCCAACTTCTACATTAAAATTTTGTTAGGACTCTCAATTTTATGATTTGAGTGACATCAACACCGACACTTGTGTTGAGAAAGAGAAAAGGGTAATTTTCGTACCGAAATGATATCTAGTTTGGAAATTAATTATTTTAATAATTTTTTAATATTTTATAAGAAAAATATAAAAATATAAAGAGAATGATATGATAATTTATAGTGAATTTTTAAAAAAATTTTGACTAAAATATATAATTAACAAATAAAACCTCAGTCTGACTATCAAATTTTATCTGAACCGATGTGTCCATATCAGATTGCTTAATGCTTTGTGAGCCCTGATTAAAGTGAGAAATGATACTCAGAGTTGGTCGGACTTTCAAACTGTGTAAAACCACTCTTTTCATATTCTCAATGAATCATGTATTCAATTCTGATCATTTATTCAATAATTAAAATATTTGCAGGTCCTCCACTCGTTTATAAAGGGACTTGGATATCCTGAGTGTTTTTCGATAATTTAAATCATTGATATTGTAAGATTTGTTAAGAATATTATTTATGTAAAAAATTAAATTAATCGGATATTCATAACCTCATGATTAAGTCCTAATTGTTTTTAAAAATTTATAAAAGTTATGTTAACCGTTAATTTTTATAAAAACAAATGTAATTTGGTTATAAGGTTACAAATATCCAATCAATTTAATTTTTTACTTAAATAATCTAGTCGACGAACCCTATTATCAAAGTAGGCGACACTCCATAAAGAAACATAGTAGCACCTTTAACACGGCAGAATTCCCGAGTCCTTTATAGAGAAGAGTCTAACTAGGAGCATTGAAAATATGAGTAATAAATTGCTCTCTTCCTAACCGCTTCAATTTTTCAATTGTGCTAGAATCATTGAAAATTTTCACAATTGTAAGGTAAAGAAGTGGAATCAACCCTTTATTTAACATTTTTTTTGTATTTTATTTTGTAAAAATTTTATGTATTTACACTAAATTTTTAAATAAGTTGATAGTTAATAATTCAAACAATCATAAAATATTAAGATTCTATCCATCAAATAAATAAAAAATAAAAATCTTTGATGTCATGGGCATTTTGGGAATTCAACCCCCAACTTAGATGAAACCAGGTGCTTGAATTATTGGCATACCATCAAACAAAGTTCTATATAAGTCCACATTGCCTAGCACTTTGAATCAAGCCCCACTCAACCAAACAACCCTCTCTCTCTCCCTCTTTCTCTCTCTCTCTCTCTCTGGAGTGAGGCTTCTCTGTTCTTGTGGCAATGGCCAAGTTTGCTTCCCTTCTCCTTCTGGCACTCCTTGCCATTTCCATGGTTGCAACCACTGTGAGTTCCACAACAAACAAATGGGTCACACCATTATATATGTTTCCACTTTTTAAAAGTGTTTTTTTTTATCATAACTTAGTACAGAAAGATAGACATTGACACAATTTGTTTTTGTTTTTTTTTTTAATAACTTTTGCAGGTTCTGGCAGCAGATGCCCAGTATCACCTCTCCAGGGTAAGTTCTCTCTCTCTCTCTCTCTCTCTCTCTCTCTGTGTTTTGAAAGTATTGCCATCTTGTTTTAACAAAACATTTTTTATGTTTTCAGCAACTTTCAGGTCAAGGAAGCCTAAAGAGCTACCGTAAGTACTCTTCATTGGGATATCATCATTTTTAATTGTCTGAAGATTTTCAATCTGCAGACTTGTTTTCATGGGTTTTTGCTTGAATTTTACCAAAATTCTTGAAAGTTTGGCAAATTCAAGCACTCGAGCAACTAGCATTGGCCTTCGATTTTAATCAAAAAAAATTGCGTGGGATAGTTTTTCAAAAATTGGGGAATATCATAAAAATGAGAAATTGAGAAAATAATTTCAAATTAATGGAATGCAAGAGAAAGCTCCCATTCAATTAATTTGCAATCGTTGATTACAAAGATGTATTAATTTTTATTCAATTAATTAGTAATTATTTTTCTGATTTCCCATTTTTATGATACTCATCCTTTAAAGATTAAGATTTTAAAAAGAATTGGGTTTTAAAATGTGTCAAAATCGCATTTACATAGCATAAAAACTAAAAATTAAATCAATATTATACATTTGATTTAATTTAATTTAAATTTTTTTTGTTAATAACAGAATGCCCATCACAATGCCAGAGGAGGTGTAGCCAAACACAATACAAGAAACCATGCTTGTTCTTCTGCAACAAATGTTGCTCAAAGTGCTTGTGTGTTCCCCCTGGCTATTATGGGAACAAGGGTATGTGCCCTTGCTACAACAACTGGAAGACCAAGAGAGGAAGCCCCAAGTGCCCTTAAATTATAATTAATATCTTTTATTACCTTAAAACCCCTTCTTATCCATTATTATGAGGTGGTGGGGTCATAAGTTTTCTGACCATTGTGTTTTTTAATATGGAACTAGTATTGATGTATTGCTCCTTTGGGGTAAGTAGTTTTGTGAACCCCAAAATGAGAGCTGAATCTTTGGTTCATTGTTATGTTTATTGCTTCTATAAAATAAAATTTTGCATAACCTTTTCAATGCACACCCATGTTGTACTTTGAGCTCTTCTTTTAAAAAATGTCACTCATTAAAAAAATGAAAATGAGAAAAGGTGTTTTTTCAATTATATTCCTCGATAGATGTAGAACAATCCAATTAGAGCAGTTTAATTTTAGAAGAGTATACATCACACATGATTTAAATTAAACAAAACAAGTACTTTAAACCAAAATAACGAACATTAAAATTTCTATTAATTTTCATTCATCAATTTTAATGTTTGTTGAAAAATACTACATCGAATTTTTTTTTTTTTTGAACAAATACTACATTGAAATTGATTTCTTCAATCTCGATGATTGAATATGAATAGATTGTTATAAGTTCGTGAAAGGAAAGCTGCTATGGTGAAATTCGTATAGTCTATAATTAAAAAATAATAATAATATTGTAGTAATCACATTTATGTATTATAAATTGTTAAATATCCCATATGTCATCGTGTAATTGGTTTAATGGGTCACACTTTTCATATCTGTTGCGATTGTTTGAGAAATGTTAAATTAATATATTTTTTTACTTTTTACGAAAAAACGTAAAATGTGAATTAAGTTTGAAGTGATATAATAGAAAGATGATATAACCTAAATAAGATAATTATGATCCAAATATCTCTCATTGAATTCTTTCAAATGTGTTTTTGACTAGTAAGAAAAAAAATTTACCGACCAGAAACACATTTAAGGGAATTCAAGAGAGAAAACTGTATAGATTATCTCACTTGAAATATCATGACGTTATGTTACATTTTCAATAAATGAGAAATCAAAAAATATATTTTGGTTTGTTGTTTCTTATCTTCTAATTATCTAATAAACGAGAATCTCTATTACCACATCGGTACATATGTTGGCTAACAATGACAGATTACCCATGAATGCTTTACAGCAGAGACACCAGCTGATCCAGCAATTGTAATCCTTTGTCTCTTTGCTGCATCAGCTTTAAAAAAATGAGTAATAATATGCTTAATACAGGAGTCCAAACCTTTATTTTAAAAAATGAGAAATTATATCGATAATTTTTACATTTTATTTTTTGTATTTTTTTGGTAAATATAATTTTAATTAACTTAATTTTGACTCTTCATTTTGAATTTTGTGTCAATTTGATCCAATTGATAACGTCGATTACGATTTTTTAAGGAAAATAGTTATTGAGTTAGTTAAGATTACCTTAATAAGTTGAACAAATTTACAATTTCATTTATAAGAACATAACACATGCCACATATGTGCTCATTTTTTATCAAAAACTATGAACAATTATAATTAATTGGACCAAATTGAGATAGAATCATATATTCAAGGTCAAAATTAAGGCAATTAGAATTATAAAGATCAAAATAATACAAGATCAAAATATAGAGATTATTAGTGTAATTTGCCTTTAAAAAAAATTAGGTTGCATTTGAATTTTTAGCCTGAGTTTGTTTAGGATAAAAATGATAGATAGTAAGAGAAAAAGGAATATATATATATATATTGTATGAGCTTGTTTAACATGAAAATGGTAGAAAGTAGAAGAAAGTTAAAAATTTTGTACAATTCATATTAACATTGTAACTAACTTTTTAATTTCTTGTAAAAAAAAAAAATACAATAAAATCTTGGGTGTACCATATGCAACCTTGCATAAAATTAGGGTAAGTTTTCACGAATTTACATGAGTGGTCTAGGAAAATATATAAATTCAACACAAATTCATGTAATCACATAATTTTTCATGAACTTACGTAAATTTATGTTCAACTTATGCATTTTTATATAATTACTTATATAAAAAGTAATGCTAAGGAGCATGAAAAAAATATCATAAAATGCTTCATAAAAATTTTCATCCTTTGATTAGTGCATGTTATTTTATTTTATATGTAATTCAAGAGTGGATAATCTTCATGATATATTTTACATAATCCCTATCATTACTCACAAATTTACATAATTTTGGGTAGGATTACATATGGTGTGCATTGTACACCGGAGCATTTTCCAAAATTTGAAAGAGTTATCTATGTCTAAACTTTCAATTTTCTCTATATTTTTTTACAAAATCTTTATCTTAATCAAATGCTTGCAAGAAGGTATATATTTATTCCTTTCACTCTATTTTCGTTCATTTTCACTTTCTATCAAGAAAAAATTTCTAATGAAACAAAGCCTTAGGTAGAGATTTTGTTTTTTAGTAATCGAGTGTTCGGATTAGTTTACAAGCATCTCGATTAGTCTTAGAGTTTTGAAATTAACGATTAAATAAACTTTTAATAATCCCAATGTTTGAGATGATTGGTGTTTGTGAGATTCAACTATGTAACCTCTTATGTGTAAACTATTTGATTGTTCCTGGAGTTGCCACAAGTAGTAAAAAGAAAAAATAATAATAAATCAAATTTATTCTCAATTTTTCTCATATATATATTTTTTAATTTACATATAAATTTATGATCGAAACACAATCTTACTACTACTGAAACTATGAACTAGATCTAAAGTTAGTTTCACGAATCGTTAATATTCCATTTTTGTTGACTGAAAGAGAGAATCAAATGCTGGTTTTGTCATTGAAATCATTAATCAAATGGTTAGTTTAGTTTGACAAACTGTTAGTTTGACGGAAATTTTGGGCATAGGAAATCTAACTACCCATTTGGTTAATGATTTCAATTGACATCTCCGAGGTTAGATGCTTAAATCCTGTGGAGACCATTGACCTCTGAGATCAAACGTTCATAGTTTTTTTTTTTTTGGTGAAGGATTTCAATTCAGTGTAATATTTAAAAAAATATATATGACAAACTCAATACATATTAATACATTATGTCTTCTCTCTCTGTGTATTATGCATTTTTCTTCTTCTTCTTCTTCTTCTCTTCTTTTTCTTCGTCTTCAGCTTCAGAAATGGCGAAAAAAAAAATGACACGAAAACGACTCGTTTTGGTGTCGAGCCAAATTCGAGCCTCCGAATTTCAAGCTACGAATCGGAACTGTACAAAAAAAATCCAAGGTTTAAATCTTATAACAAAATAAACTTTTAATTTTTAATTTTATCAATTTAAATTTAAATTTTATTTATTTATTTTTAATCTAAACTATTTTTTTTTTTAAAAGTAAAATCGATAAAAAAAAAAGGTACTTACATTATTAAACTCAATTGAAAAGATATTTTAGATATTTCATATATACTTATATTGAATTTAATTACTAAAATACTCTTCTTCTTTTTTTTCTTTTTTTCTTTTTTTGTTAATTTTACTTATTGAAAATGAGTGCATGGCTTAGATGGAAAATAAATTAAAAAGTTATAATTTAAATTAATCAAAATTTATTTTGTTATGAGGCTGAAATTTTTATGTTTTTTTTTAATTGTTTTTATTTTGTTTAGAGAAAATTACTAAGACTTCCCCCTCTAATTTTGTGTAGTAGGAGGGGTCAAAAATATTTTTTTTTCCTTTTAATTAGCTAAGGTCCCTTAACATTTTCATAGAGAAAATTCGACTCATAAAAATTTTGCCCGATTAAGAAAAATTTCACCCGATTTAGAGAAATTTCAGTCCAAATTCAGAAAAAGTTTGAAATTTCTTTGTAAAATGATAAAAATTTCTCTGAGTTGAATTTTTCTATAAAAATATTGAGAAATCTTAATTAGTATGTAAATATTATATACCATTTACCTTATAAAATCTTAATACCAAATACCTTTAAAAAAAAAAATTCCCTTTAGTTTATGACAAACCTCGGTCGAAATTATAGGCCCCTCAATCTTATGGGACTTCGTGATTTTTCCATTTCTCTAAAATTTGCAGGCTTTGCGGACATTAACATATGTTTCTTCTCTTTGTTCTCAACATATATATATATATATATAATATATCCTCTTACTTTTCCATTTGTTTTTGTAGGCCCTATTTGGGATTGGTTTTTTTTTTTTTTACTATAATAGAAAATAAAGTTAAAATAAACTAAATAATTAATAAGGTAAAATATCACAAATCACAATCATTTCACTTTTTTTTCATAACTATAAAATCAACTACAAAAAAATGTCCACCATAATTCCATACAATGGCAGGGATTTAATATTGGATATAATTTAAGTTATATTTGGATTAAGAATTTGGGTAAGAATTTAGAGAAACACATGAAAAATATAAGTAAAATGTGAATAAAATATAGGGGTAAATTACACTTTGCATTACTGCATTTTGCACCAAATTTCATTTTTGGCAGTCAGCTCCATGCATTTCTGGTCAAATCTCATTTTGATTTCTATACATGAAATTATGACAATCAACTTCGTACACTTGTGGTTAAATCCTACATTTACAAATGTCAATGTCCCTCATCTGTTACTCAATTATTTAAATCTTTAATAGAATTCAGTCATATAATAAGAAGGTGACTATGAAATGAGGGTAAAAGAAGAAAAACATTCCTATTTTCTACCAAGACATACTTTGTCCCACATGATACGCCCGTGACAGTTACATAATACAATATACATATGTATGTATGTATGTATGTATGTATATAAGTATGTATGTTTACATATTGAAAATTGGGATGAAAAAGCAAGTAAATAGAGTTCTTTGAAATAAAAAAAATATAAAAAAAAAAAAAGATAGCAGAGAAATCAAAGAGAAAGGAAGAGAAATAGATTGAAGACTGTGTCACTATGGAATATTGAGTTTCATTCACAATTTGTGTTTTGTTTAACCTAATACAGTCATAATTTGATATAAATTTTGAGACGAAATGTGTATAGGCGGGAAATGATAGTAATTTTCCTTTTTTGCCAACATTTCGTAGTCATATACTTGTCACATTACTGACTTCTATGATTTACATGCTAGAGTAACAAAAGGGAGGACATTGACATTTGATCAGAAGTGCAGGGGTAAATAGTTACGATTTCATGTATAGGGGTCAAAATATTTGGTGGAAAATATAAAGGTGCAAACTGTAATTTATCTATGAAATATAGTTA